TTGGCACTGTGGATACCGAGAGTCTCGCTTTGGCACTGTTGAGGCCGAGAGTCTCGCTTTGGCACAGTGGAGGCTGAGAGTCTCGCTTTGGCACTGTGGAGGCCGAGAGTCTCGCTTTGGCATTGTGGAGGCCGAGAGTCTCGCTTTGGCACTGTGGATACCGAGAGTCTCGCTTTGGCACTGTTGAGGCCGAAACTACACATTTCAGTAAAAAGTCGAAGAATATTTTGATTAATGGTCAAATAAGTACCCAGTATAAAGTGTCTCTCCTGAAAAACAAACGATTAAACATAATTTTAATTAAGTTTAATTGATATTATTGATTTCAATTTAACAAAATGTATCAGTTACAGTTAGGACAGCATTTAGATATATTGATTTCAGTACATACACATATGTGTTGATATAAATTAATAATGAACTCATATTAATACTACGAACTTTAAGAAACGTTTCAAACAAGTCCACAACATAATGTAAGCAATTTACTGGAACGATGCGAATTCAGCTGGATTTCAGAAAAGCTTTTCCAGCCATCGTTATATCTGGGTTCGATGTTTCAAGTAGCGTATCCATATTAATGAAGCAAATCTAACATAGAGTTTATATAATATAACAATCACCCTGCTCAAAAGGGGAACGGATCGAATGCTCCCTGTGGGAAATATGCACTAGACATTTATAACTGTGAACGGAGAACATGTCCTGTTCGACCCTAGACATTTAAGTGTATGGTATGTATTTTCATGAGGAGCGTTAGTTGTACACGGAGCTACTGTGAGGAACTAGTTTCCCCTCTAACACACGACAGTGGATAGCAGATGGAATGCTAAAGATCTATGTATCATTATACAAGGCGTTTTCCAAGCAAATTATAGGCTCTCGTTTTCAAAATATGCCGAATTTGCGTGAGCACGCTCATAAAACGATTTTTCGGATTTTTTCCCCAATGGGAACAGCTTTTCTAGCAATCTTAAGAAATCCTGAAGCCGTTGGTTCGATCAAGTTTTCCGATAGAGCAATCACAACTTAGCTCACTCAGCCATGTCGACTATAACTGGGGCACCAAATCGCGTGCCGGTCGAGAGTTTTCCTATCACTCCACTTCATACTAGGCAAGGAAGGTATTTCCGGAAATCTCCGACAGTGAGTTACGTCTCCCGTCACAGGTTACAATTGCCCAGTGTTAAACCCATGCTCTGTTAATGGTAATTAATCGTAGGATCGTTGTTGCGGACATAACCGGGCTAGTTTGTATCAATTGATTTCATTGGTTCAGCTGGGTGTCGTTAGTGTTGAGTGTGTTTATTGTTGGGATCAGCAGAATAATGCCTGATAAATTTTGCACTAATTGCAAAACAGTAGGGTATCACATGATTTGTGGGAAGACGGAGAATCACAAAGTCATTCTGCATCGAACGTGTTGATTGGTGGGAAGGAGGATATCACATGGTTATTTTGCACCGACGGTGTTGATTGGTGCGAAGAATGATATCTCATAACAAAACTTGTTTTAAACGAGCTGATTTGTGAGCTGTGGAATACCTTTTGATAAAACTGAATTTCTTATTGCCAAAAAGGTTGAAAAAAAGAAAGAAAAAAAACCCTCTTATCAAACAATTTTGTTCCATTACACACAGCATTTCTCTGTCAGATGTCGTGAGCTGCACGTGGAGTCAATACTCTGAAGTACTTCAGTCTCCCTTGGGTACATGACACCAATCCAACAACGCCACGCTCTACATAAACTGTTAAGTGACTATTTTGTGAAGAGAGTGCACCATAAATTGCTAATAATTCAATTACAAAAATTGAAAAGGAAAAGTCAGTTGTAAATTCGAATTTATGTACCAAAAACAAGACTATATTCACCACTGATATTTTGATTTTGTCTATGGCCATTTAGTGTTGATGTATGCAATTCAAGAGAACGAAGCCATTTTAGTCTCTCATGTTGAGAGTGTTATTCAGAGTCAAAATTGCTAGGTAAAATAAGACCAAACGATCACTAACTGGACAAATCATTGACCGCAGCGTTTAGAAAAAACTAACCAACAAACATACAAAACCGTAAAGTACTTATGTGTTTTCAGTCATCGAAACAGTACTTTTTAACGAATATATGTAAGATCGCCAAAAACAGCGTGTTTATCTGAAAAATTCCTCTGTGGATTCTATGAAAGGAAATATCCACACAAAGGTATCCGCCCTAACCGTTTGGGGCAGTATATATCCTCCTCTGCCATTAACACGATTTCATTAATGATGCAGATTTTAACGGTGTAGCCCATACTGCATTTTTGAAGATATAATTCTCACGTTTGATTTTTAAGGTGTCCCTCTCGTTTGATATTGATTTCTCTTAGACGGTGTAGATTTATGACGGTGAAGATTGACCTTTGACGGTGAAGATTGACCTTTGACGGTGAAGATTGACCTTTGACGGTGAAAATTGACCTTTGACGGTGGAGATTGACTTTTGACGTATTTTTATGACGGTGAAGATTGACCTTTGACGGTGTAGATTGACCTTTGACGGTGAAGATTGACCTTTGACGGTGAAGATTGACCTTTGACGGTGAAGATTGGCCTTTGACGTGTTTTTATGACGGTGGAGATTGACCTTTGACGGTGTATTTTCCATTTGACGGTGTAGATTGAACTTTGACTGTAAAGATTGACCTTTGACGGTGTATTTTCCATTTGACGGTAAAGATTGACCTTTGACGGTGTATTTTTATGACGGTGTAGATTGACCTTTGACGGTGTATTTTTATGACGGTGTAGATTGACCTTTGACGGTGTATTTTTATGACGGTGAAGATTGACCTTTGACGGTGAAGATTGACCTTTGACGGTGAAGATTGACCTTTGACGGTGTATTTTTATGACCGTGAAGATTGACCTTTGACGGTGTATTTTTATGACGGTGAAGATTGACCTTTGACGGTGTTTTTTTATGACCGTGTAGATTGACCTTTGACGGTGTTTTTTTATGACGGTGAAGATTGACCTTTGACGGTGTATTTTTATGACGGTGAAGATTGACCTTTGACGGTGAAGATTGACCTTTGACGGTGTTTTTTTATGACGGTGTAGATTGACCTTTGACGGTATATTTTTATGACGGTGAATATTTCCGTTTGACGGTGTATTTTTTTACGGTAATTTCCCTTAGACGGCGTATACTGTTTTTATTTTCCTTTGAAGGTACACACTGCACTGTGTTTATTTTCTTTTGAACATAAAAATTTCTTTGACGATGTATATTTCCCTATAAAGGTGTTTATCTTTTCCTGTTGTAAATTTCCCTTTAACGATGCAGCTTTGCCTTGACAGTACATACGTTCCTGTAGAAGCGTTAATTTCTCTTCGGAAATGTAGATTTTCCTCTGGTATAATTTGTTTTCCTTTAAAACTTGTACAAAGGACACACATGAATATTGCCTAATAATACAGAAGAGTTAGACACGGTAGAGAAAAAAAAAGCGTCCTTCGAAGACTTATCAGTGATGTTAAGGGCATACATTTTTAAAGGTAGGACGCGACTGATGGAAATATGAAAATGATGGAAAGACATGTCGATCAGGATAGGGATGTGCATTAGTCCCATAAAATACATGTGTGTGCCATGAATTAAAACGCAGCACGCAGGTTACAGCAAACCACGGTAACTAAAAGTCCGCTCGATGAGTGACGACCACCTGCAATCTCATCTTCACCAGACGGATCGCTTAGTCCCATTCTAAAATTAGTTACAGGTCAATTACCCCGACATATCAAACCTTAGGCAGGGATTGTGTATGCTACCTAATTGTTTAATGGTATCTGTACAGTGTTCACGGTTAATCTCTGCACAAGGTACAATTAAAGCGTTTAAGGACGGGACATTAGAAAGTATACTAACACTGATGTATATCGCCTCGATTTTACGGAGCAGCTTGCGGTAGTGACATACTTATTTAATTGCGTATCATTAGAATAAAATGTCGATACAAACTTCTAAATAATCCAGGGTCTTTTATAACAGCAATCGCCGAAACTCAGCCTAAATGACCTTTGTTGTTCTTCAGGACAAGAAATCCGGTATCAAAGACCTTAAGTGTTCATCTGTACAGAAAGATGGAAGTCTGTAGAAACGAGAGATATCAGGGGTCATCCGAACTGCTATAACAAAGCTTAATACAAACGATCGGAATCGCTCCTCATAAACACGAAATGAAACTCAGTATAAACAACATTCGTTGCCCCTCAGATCATAAAGGTAAAATCTTATAAAAAAGACAGTCTTTGGTCATTCGGAGTTCACCAGAACTATACAACAAACTCTATATAAACGATATTTATTAAACCAGAGACTTAACTCGATATAGACATCAATCCATATCCATCTGATTTGGAAGACGAATCGAATCTCAGTATTAACATTTGTACTCGTAGATATTGCTACTCGGAACTAAATATAAATGAGATTCGAACTTAAAGACTCTTCTATCAATTTCCGAAGATCAGAAATTTGCGTTATAAGTGGAATTTCATCATTTAGTCATATGTTCAGGATCCTGACCTAAAGAATATTTAACATGTCTCCTATGTAGACAAATATGTGAGGAGTTTGATATCTGCGTGACATGCTATTTTAAGGACACTATAGATAGAACACATGTCTATCATGTTAAAAATGTAACGAAATGTTATTTGTCAGGTTATCGAAATTCACCTTACACGTTACATTTGAAATGGACCCGCTTCACGCCGCCAGATCGAAAAAATACTCCTTTGAACGTCGCTGAGATGAACCACGGAGTCACGTGCAAACAAAAAAGACAAAACAAAACATAACAAAAAAAAATCAGTGCTACAAAAGTATGTTCGTTGCTTTAGTCTTCCGTAAACAAAATACTTTTGCCGTATTTATAATGTCCATTCCGTTCCCTACAACGACTTGTCACATATGGTCCTCCGTACATAATATCTCCAGGAGCAGGATTGATTACACTATGCCTCCGTACAAAATGTCACCAGATACACGACTTGTCACATATGAGCCTCCGTACATAATGTCACCAGATACACGACTTGTCACATATGAGCCTCCGTACAAAATGTCACCAGATACACGACTTGTCACATATGAGCCTCCGTACAACATGTCACCAGATACACGACTTGTCACATATGAGCCTCCGTACATAATGTCACCAGATACACGACTTGTCACATATGAGCCTCCGTACAAAATGTCACCAGATACACGACTTGTCACATATGAGCCTCCGTACAACATGTCACCAGATACACGACTTGGCACATATGAGCGTCTGTAATCAGTTGTTTAACAACATGCATGGCTTAACACCTATAGAAACACACACACATGGCTTGTTGCTTATGGGCCGCTGTAAACTATCGTATATACACGTACATAAAAAAGTCACTGACAGACATCCGTATACAATAATACCTATCTCACATGTCACGTATAGGCCACCATAGAAGATAGTTCGCCGTTCAAACTCTCTGCTGGCGCTCTCTGCCACGCAGTGCTAAGCAATGGAGCGTAGGAGAATTATAGTTATTTTTCCGGCGATACGATACACAAGCACTCCAGCGAACTTTTACAGTGTTAAAAAATAGTTCTAATTACTACTACAAATATCTGTGTTGAAATATGGAACGAAATCTCGGGGGATTAGAAGAATCACACGTTATCAGAGCTTCCTTGTTAAACATTTCGGCGCCAGATATCGTTTGATTGTGGATGACTTGATAATACCTTCAAGTAAGTACAATAATTGTTTGACTGGTAATCCACAACTCCTCGAAATAGTGACGTGTTCCAGTTCTGTGTACGTACTTATACATAGTCCATGATAAATGTGTTTTGACGTACACACGTCGGGTTATGGGTTATAAACATTTGCTCATCAAAATTACTTGACCTCCAACAGGTGACGATAGGTTGCAAGCATTTTTTTAAACGTTTGTTATTCGTCCGTCGACGACGGATCGTAGTATAGTGTACCCTGCGCTGTCCATCCGTCCGTCGGTAAATTTTCCTTGTTAGCACCGTCTTACCTTTACTTATAGATTGATTTTAATGAAAGTCTCTAGAAATATTCCATACCAAAGTAACTCGAACGAGTTTGCGTTGCTGAATTTCGCGATTATTTTTTTTGCAGACTTATGCCTCTTTTATTCGCAAATATGGGCCAGGTGTAGAAAAGGCAAAAATTGTTTAATTCTTGAAATTTTGACTCGAAAAACGTATTACTTTTTGCATATTTGTATACTTTCCGATACATGATGTTAGGAATATTTCTTCCGACATGGGACGGGCGTATATTATTCCGTCCCGCGGTACACTTGTTGTTTTGTGAACATGTTTTCCATAGTGCCAAATATGTTAAATAAGTAATTCTATAATATGTTTATTTAATTTCTGCAAGCTTAACATTCAAAATCTGACACACTGAATTTAAAATGTTAAATATAGGCTTACTGTTAAAACCCTAATTACGACAGTGCACGAGTCGGACTAACGGACAAGGACGTAAAGGTGAAGGTTTCAGCGTGGGACACTTTCCATGGGAGTTTTTAAACAACAGCTCCCTCCCTGGAAAATATAGGGCGTTTGATCCCCAAAGCATGACCACTTGCAAATAAATTTCGGTTCTTTATATTTTTCCAAAACAACTTATTTTTTTTCTTATTCTTGGCACTCATTGCAATTACAATGGGACATGAATTCCTTAACGTTAATGCCAGAGGAAACCTTTCGGTCCTTTCCGTTGACAACAATGGAAGTGATATCAGACTATCGTTTCTGCGACATTTAGGTGAATATCATTATAAAACGGTGCTTACTCTGACCGTTACTGATGTAGTCACTTTCTTCATATAGATTTTATATACAGTACTACGTAATACCTAGATAAACTGCTGCTATACTTCTATCTACTTAATTAATATTTAGTTTAACTTTTCTAATTAGCACTTTCTTCCTGAAGAAATCAACCATATAAAATATAGTACGTTAACGGTATGTGAAATACGGTATGTACTTCTCAGTCTTATATCGAATTTATAGGGTAACGAATATAGTCCGTATATAATACCGAGTGCCAGTATTGGGTGTAGTAATTCAAAACCAACAAGCTGCCCTTACGATCAACTATGAACGAAAGTTTGGCTGGAACTTTATTACCCACAATACACTTACAGCAGCACCAATGAGAAATGTCGACCCGTCGAATGGATTAAAAAAACGACTGACGAAATAATTTTCAACCTTTCATGTGGAAATGAATTCATAATAAAAGTATTAAATAATCAAATGAATTCCACAGACATATACGTTGATGGTTTGAAGGCCATGTGACAAAACCTTCGTTGAAAAATTAATTAGCCATTCAAGATAGGAACACGTTTGTTTCCGGGTGTACCTAATATCCGGTTGAAGGTTCGGGAACATTCGTCACTCTCCGCGAACACGTCGTCTTTTACACGGAAGCATCCGAATGGTCACGATTTGGCATGAAACCTGTCCTGTCTCCTAACTGCATTAAAACTGATTTGAATGTATCTACGATATTTGTTGACTTGAATTCTGATTAATTATCCGAATGTTTAGAAAGTTTATATTTCATATTATAAATTATTTATTTAGCTACGAAGTTGTAATAAGGTTACTCTCATGTAAAAAGTATGTATGACTTGTTTTGATTATTTGATTGCTATGTCACCTTGGCGATGACCATGTGATCACGTGACAGCGCAGTGATTGATGACGTCGCGATCTAACAACAACATTCGGGCGAACGTGTTTGAAATATCAGATATTTATGCAGAAGATGAAATATATTTGATATCAGACAACGTCAACCATTTTGTTGAAGAAATCAGACGTCAGTAGGGCCGCTCTGTGTTGAAGTTATATAGTTATGTGAAAGTCTGCATACTTAAAGCGTGTAATATTGTCAAGGTCTCCATTTTCAAACGATGATTGACTTAAAAGGAAGGCAGTCTTTTCACTCTGTGAAGATTTATTTAAACAGGCAATGTTTGTTTGCCTCTTATTTGAACTCTAAATGTGTAAGGGGAAGTAAAACGGATGTAAGGAGAGATTGAAGAGGTTAGGGGGGAGGGGGAGGGGAGACGATGTTGGGAGAGAAAAGAAGAAAATGAAAATTACCGAAACGTGCACTTCTTTTCTATTGCTTGTCATTAAAGCTGTTTCGTACAATGAATCTGGGTACAGAACAGGTAAATGTCCTTATTTGAAACTCTAAAGGTAGCCCCTAACAGGTAGGTATGCTCTAGTGTCGAGTGTTAATCAACACAGACGACTTCATAACACGATGTAACACCGTGGGAAACGTCTTCTCAGGGTGACAGGAAAGTGCAAAAATAAGGAGGGAACACAAGATACTATTGTCGCTTAGGAGCTCGGTAAGAGAATTCCAAACACCGCAAAGATTCATCACCGAAAGGCATTATGTTCTAATTATACACAGTTCATAATTCAGTCCTATGGATTAAGAATTGTGTAATGGGTTTTCAGTTATAGAATCTAAAAAAGGTATCCAACAAACGAGTCTAAACCGAAAGCATTACCTACATACGAGTCTAAACCAAAAGCATTACCTACATACGAGTATCAACCAAAAGCATTACCTACATACGAGTCTAAACCAAAAGCATTACCTACATACGAGTATCAACCAAAAGCATTAACATACGAGTATCAACCAAAAGCATTACCTACATACGAGTCTAAACCAAAAGCATTACCTACATACGAGTATCAACCAAAAGCATTACCTACATACGAGTATCAACCAAAAGCATTACCTACATACGAGTCTAAACCAAAAGCATTACCTACATACGAGTATCAACCAAAAGCATTACCTACATACGAGTATCAACCAAAAGCATTACCTACATACGAGTATCAACCAAAAGCATTACCTACATACGAGTATCAACCAAAAGCATTACCTACATACGAGTATCAACCAAAAGCATTACCTACATACGAGTATCAACCAAAAATGATTGTAACCAAATAAAAAACCTAAACAAAATATAGTTCACAAACGATTCTAAACAAAACATAGTTCACAAACGATTCTAAACAAAATATAGTTCACAAACGATTCTTAACAAAACAAAGTCCAGCAACGATTCTAAACAAAATATAGTTCACAAACGATTCTAAACAAAATATAGTTCACAAACGATTCTAAACAAAATTTAGTTCACAAACGATTCTAAACAAAATATAGTTCACAAACGATTCTAAACAAAATATAGTCCAAAAACGATTCTAAACAAAACATAGTTCACAAACGATTCTAAACAAAACATAGTTCACAAACGATTCTAAACAAAACATAGTTCACAAACGATTCTAAACAAAACATAGTTCACAAACGATTCTAAACAAAATATAGCCCACCAACGATTCTAAACAAAACATAGTTCACAAACGATTCTAAACAAAATATAGTTCACAAACGATTCTAAACAAAATATAGTTCACAAACGATTCTAAACAAAATTTAGTTCACAAACGATTCTAAACAAAATTTAGTTCACAAACGATTCTAAACAAAATTTAGTTCACAAACGATTCTAAACAAAACATAGTTCACAAACGATTCTAAACAAAACATAGTTCACAAACGATTCTAAACAAAATTTAGTTCACAAACGATTCTAAACAAAATTTAGTTCACAAACGATTCTAAACAAAACATAGCCCACCAACGATTCTAAACAAAATTTAGTTCACAAACGATTCTAAACAAAACATAGTTCACAAACGATTCTAAACAAAATTTAGTTCACAAACGATTCTTAACAAAACATAGCCCACCAACGATTCTAAACAAAATTTAGTTCACAAACGATTCTAAACAAAATTTAGTTCACAAACGATTCTAAACAAAACATAGTTCACAAACGATTCTAAACAAAACATAGCCCACCAACGATTCTAAACAAAATTTAGTTCACAAACGATTCTAAACAAAATTTAGTTCACAAACGATTCTAAACAAAATTTAGTTCACAAACGATTCTAAACAAAATTTAGTTCACAAACGATTCTAAACAAAACAGAGTTCACAAACGATTCTAAACAAAACAAAGTCCACCAACGATTCTAAACAAAACAAAGTCCACAAACGATTCTAAACAAAACAAAGTCCACCAACGATTCTAAACAAAACATAGTTCACAAACGATTCTAAACAAAACATAGTCCACAAACGATTCTAAACAAAACATAGTCCACAAACGATTCTAAACAAAATATAGT